GTTCATGAATCAGTAAGTTGTAGGATTTGGTAAACCTTCGTTGACAATACTTGCAGATGAATTCCTTCTTAGTGCGCGAAGATGTCATTCGACGGGTGTAGAAGTTAGTTGTTTCCATAAGTCCAGGAAGACAATCTGTGCGACTGGGTAAAGACGGAGTGTATTGTGGGCTTACAAGAAATGGGCTCAATGGCTGTAAGGTGGGCATGCTTGATAAATAGTCATTTAAACCAAACTGTAAAGGCTTGCTAAACTCTGCTTTCTTCAGGGGTGACAAATGATCTCTTGTAGTTCTTCTAGTCATGCACCATCCTTTCAGGTCATTCCGAGTTTCAGTTTCCTCTTGGCTTGTCGCTGACTCAGCAAGACGAGAAAAGTCAAATTTTTTTCTTCCACTGTTCGATAGGGAAGGATTTTGATTCAACTGTTTATAAAACAAATTACCAAGACGAGAAAACTGACTATCAAATGAATGCACTTTTCCTATCTGTGAAGTTGGGCTAACTGGGCTTGACGCAGACAGCCAATTCAACTGTAAGGTAAAAGGGACAGGGAAGTTGGTCATTCTAGGATAATTGACCGTGGGAACATAACGCGAGCTTGCTTGTCTATTAGATATAGGAATGGAAGGCGTAGTGGAAGATTTGGATGAAGGAAGCACTATTTTCAAGCTCGATCGATCAACGGAAGGTAACGTTGTTGATTCGACGGATGGAGATACAGATTCTATTGAAGATATTTCTCTTGCATCGAGTGATGGAGTAATGAACGTTGCAGAAGAAAGTGTTTTTGGCACGACTGAAGAAGTGATACTCGATGTCGGAAGTAATACCGTTGTCAGACTGAAGGGGAGTGATGCTCCATGGTGACTCGTGGGGGTCAATGGCGGTGTTGGGAGGAACGTTTGTCCTTCCCGGTGGACATCTGTGTGTTAATCAAAATGATAAAATTGTTAATTAATTATTATAAAGCTTGAAATTAGCTTGTCTTTCTGACATAGTACACCATTTCCTTATTTTCTGAAGAAAGAAGTTACTTCCAGTGGCTGAAAAACCAAAGATATTGGACTACTGTTGAAAGTAACACGTTGGCTGCCATATAATAAATTAAGTATAAATATAATTAAACATTCAAAAGGTGCCAAGGAGCAGTCACAGTTGTCCTAAACTCATATGCTACAAGAGAAATTTGGCTTTGAAACATAACTGTCTATGACTCACCATAACTAAAAGTCGGTTGTGACTCACCAGTGGGGCACATGGCAGCCAACGTGTTAATTGACTAGTATGATAACCTCCATATGTCTATATTCATATGCTACATAATGTAAATTCAGTTATATTATCTTTTTATATTTGTTTATTAACATATCTATACGCGATATACACCAGCAAAAGAAGGGGATCCTTAAAACCATCGTGCATCCCCACGGAACCAAAACAATAGAAGGAATACGATGAAAGCATACACCAGAGTTTACACGTCTTATGCATAAAAGACCCCTATAGCAACATATATAATATTCCACTCATATAACCTTGCCTTGTTTGGAATATTAAAATGACCCCAAATGGCTCATGGTAATATATGTGCAATTTGAAACCACAAGTGAAAACATCTAACAAAAAACGTATTTAGTAAATACGTGAGAATACATGATGAAATATACAGCTTCAGCTAGACTGGTGCCATTTAAACCACACATTTTCAAGATTAATCGCAAGAATTGCTGTCTTCAGTAAAAATTATTTGGTTTGTTGTGACTTTCGCGCAAGGCTACACGAGGGCTATACCTGGGTTAGCTGTTTCTAATCTAGCAGTGTAAGACTAGAGGGAAGGCAGTTAGTCATCACCACCCACCGCCAACTCTTGGACTACTCTTTTACCAAAGAAGAATGAGATTGACCGTCACATTATAACGCCCCCACGGCTGAAAGGGCGAGCAGTATTAATGCATCCCACAAAAAAAAAATTAAAATAAAGTATTTGCGATATTCACATTTGTCCACCAGGGAGATTTTTCTAAATTTGGAAGCTTGTAGAAAATGACTTAAACTAAACTCTGAGGAATATTTAATCAAAGTATTTAGACCGCTGCATTAAAGTTACATACTTATATCAAGGAGTCTGGTTATTAAGGCGAGGACAATTTCTCGGATATGCCACACCAAGCACAACAGTAGCCAGGAAGGAAGAAACAGAACCACATTAAAATATCACGGGGGAAGCGGGCACATAGGAAGGGCACGTCGAAGAGACAGCCATTTCAGGGTATTTGTACAATTGCTATATAAATATGAAATGAAACATTAGCATGGAATATTCTTAAATTTATAGGAAAATTGTAATAATTCTTGGATCTTCATTAGGCTAGAACGATTTGTTTTTTGTTTTTTTTGTTTTTGGTTGAGGATGTATTTTCTTGTGTTATTTATTTTATACATTATTCCAGCCTTCTCTAAAACACTTGAAACAACTAGCAACTTTACTAAAGGACTATTGGATAAATTGAAAGTATCGACTTTTCCGGGTGTTACATACTTTTTAGCAATTTTCTGTTTTCTTTAACTCAGACTTGACAAATACTTAATATCTATAATCAATGATGACACAAATAAAATGTTCAACGTTTTGTTAGACATTTTCCAGAATTTTTTTATTTAACTTAAACTCATAATTTCTAAAACGACTAGACTTTTCATAGTAGTTGTAAACCAAAATTAATAATTTTTTAGACTAAGCTACTTTAGTATACTTAGGTTCAGATTCAAACAATGACACCTTGAAAAACTCGAAACTAAGATGAAATTGATTCATAATGTAACTAATGAGGTACTACAGTCAGAAATAAACACCATATCTTCAATATTTATCGGTAATTCATCAGTATGGTTCTTTCGCTGATAGCGGTGCTTACTTGCCATATCTACAACAATGCCTTACGAGGCCTACTTGACTAAGATTATTTTAAATCAATATAGTACAAGCTCAAACGTAAATTAGATAGCCTTATCTCATTAAATAGTCCACGAAATTTAAATCTTTCACGTATAACAAACTTTAATTAAACTAAAATATATATATATTGATTCTTTACAGATTATACATCCAGGAACACACTAATTTCTCATCTCTTTTAACATATCACACTAATTCATAAAACACTAATAGTCTTAGAAAGATTTCATGCATTTGTCACAACTAACATCGTATAACTTTACGATCTATTTATTTTATGAGGAAATTATAAAACTGATACTGCTCAAAATGATTTTCTTAAAGATTAATTCACTCTTCATTTGAGCCTCTTCGCTTGTGTCTTCATATAAATATTAAGCTTTTAGCACATTTCTAGCATCATACAAAATAGTTTATGGAATACTGTTCGATTTCTGATCACGTTGCCATTTTATATTTTTATAATAAATCTGAAAAAGACAACCGACTGGGAAGGATTAAGAAATTATGAGTGTTTGTTTGTTTGTTTGTTGTAGAATTACGAGTAAAGATACCCAAGGGCTATTTGCGCACAATCGTCCGTAATTTTCAAATGACAGACTGGAGGATTTGTTTGTTTGTTTTTAATTTCGTAAAAAACTACACGAGGGTTATCTGCGCTAGCCGTCCCTAATTTAGCAGTGAAAGACTAGAAGGAAGGAAGGTAGTCATCACATCCCAACGCTAACTCTTGGGCTACTCTTTTACCAACGAATAGTGGGATTGACCGTCACGTTATAATGCCCCACGGCTGAAAGGGCGAACATGTTTGGTGGGACCCCGCGATCGTCTGGCCATGCCGGACCACAGACTGGAGGAAAAACGGTTAGTCAAATAGTATTCAACACTTGGGCTACTGTTGGCTGATCGAATAGCAAGGTTCAACCGGACTGTAATAAACAAGAAACACATAAAAAGGAAACGAGTATGTATTGCAACCCAGTTATACGCATGTGTATATAAATATAACGAAAATAACACCGATATAACTTCTTCAGTTCAACCATTTGCATCAGATATGTGATAAAATGCGTTGGTCAGTGTATAGTTGCTGCAGGAAATATATAGCAATAACGTAAAACACGACCTAAATTCAATAATTTCAAAAAACTGATTTTAGCAGACAAAAAAAGAGTCGTTCCTTATTTTGTGAGATTGCTACGTGTCTGAAGATAGTTACTTGTTTCTTGTTCGTAATTATGTTTGAGTGAGTCATCATTCTAACTTCGTAACCACCGATACACTGCGATAAGCCACTACCGTAGTCACAAATCATATAAAAAAACATTGAAGATATTATCGAAACTTAATAAATCATATTACCTAAAGTTTGTTTGTTTTTCTCAAAAGTTTCAAAATAGCTCCTCAACGGTTATTCGCGCAACTCGTCCCCCAGTTTAAACTGATAGATTAAAGGAAAACAGCCGATCAACAGCGCCACTGACAATTCTTGGGCTACAGTAATCGAAAAATGGGATTTCTCAGTCATTCCTATATTGCACCCACAGTCTCCAAGTGCGGAGCGTGAATTGGCGTGAACGTGACACGAGCCATAGACCCTCAGATTCACAGTTCAGCATGCTAACCACTAGACTGCTCTAGGCCCCGTTCCATAATAACATAAAAAAAAGAGTGTGGTTGGCCCTGTAAACCAAAATCTAGATGTATATAAATTTAATACAAATCGTCGTGCATCTCTTACACCGAAACGTATATTTAATGTTTTGTTTTTTGTTTGTAATTAAGCACAAAGCTACACAATGGGCTATCTGTACTCTGCCCATCACAGGTATCGAAACCCGGTTTCTAGTGTTGTAAGTCCGCAGACATACCGCAGTGTCACTGGGGGCGTATATTTAAAGACTGAGAAATAAAGATAAATCTTTATTCGAACACAGCCGTACATAACAAATGCTAACATGACATCTTTATTCGAACACAGTCGTAGATAATAAATGCTAGAATTTTACGGATCTTGTTAAAGTTTTTGTAAGCCTAATTGTCATCTGCTGTTACACAAGTTTCAAATCCAACTTTGACAATTATATATATCTTATTTAGCTGAAATTCAAAGTAAGTGATTGCACTGTAGGGCTGGAATTCCTTACGAAATGCGTAGATGATGTATTGGTTCTTATGTTACAACCCTTAGAGCCAGAATAGTAATTCGCCATAAGAAACAAGAGTCAAAAGTGGTCAAGCAAATTTTTAAAAACGTATATAAGGTAGAAATATGTTGAAGTTATGCGATTCTGCGAGGTTCTTTTTTTTATAAAATACGGAAATGATGCTTTATATACACCAGAATTAAAGTTGTTTTTATACCGAATTACTACAACTTACAACTCTTTGTACCAAATCTTTTACAAGCAACATATTCATTTGTTTTCCTGTCACTGAATTTATAGTGTGATACTTGTTTCCTGTTAGCATTAAAACACTGCTGTAACAACGTCCAACAAGTGGAAACCTAACGTTAACTCAGAGACTGACATGTCTGATGAAATGTGCCAATGTCAATTTCCGCACATTGCCTATATATATCAAGTAATACATCAAAAACAAATATAAAGTATTTTTGTTGGAAAGATCTAATCGGTACTTATTAGCATAGGTTCTAAAATACGTTTACAGCAGTTCTTAACACTGTCTTCAACATGTATAGTACCCGAGGGGTCAGCAGTTAATTTGTGGCCTTACAATACCAAAATTCGGGGTCTATTTCCCCGCGACGATGAACATTACGCATTGTGTAGCTCTGAGCTAAGCAACCAACTAAAACCTCTAACAGTTGATGTTTAAATAAACATACCTCTTCAAAGATAAAACAAGTAATTTCATGTAAAGAAAGCTTAATTCTTACTTATCTAAAAACTAAGTATTTAACACAAGTTTTCAGTTCTATTCTATTTTTTATTTACTTTTAGAAATAATAAAAAAAAATGGGTGCGTTATGAGAGTATAGTTCAAATCCTGATATTTGGTCTGACAAAAGTAGCTCAAAAGTTTACGGTGGATAGAGCTGACCTGTCTTTCCTCTGGCCTATCACTTCGAGATCAAAATCCTCTAGCGCACAGAGTGCTCACAAATAAACTTTCGTCAACAATCAGGGCTGTTAAGCAGAATTTGTATACGTAAGAAATGTCGTTAAGCAGAATTTGTATAGGTAGGAAATGTTGTTAAACAGAATTTATAAAGGTAAGAAATGTTGCTAAGAAACACCATTTACAACATAAAGTGTTACGCCTTTTGATGGTATTGTATGGCTATAAACCCCTATACATTGTTCTGTAGCGATTCCCCTGGCATTGAAAAATAAAACGAGAACAAACTGCCTTTCAAAATACGTATTTCAATTGCTGTTTTATAAACCGAAGTTGAAACCTAAGAAAAAAATATTTATTGCATAAAAAATATATATTCTGAGAAAAAACAGATCTTGCCTTTTTCTGTTGAGACATTTTTAACTACTTACCACTGATTAAAGAAGGGAGTTGATTCAACTGAAATGTTCTCTTGTGTCTATAGCTTTTGTCCAGCAACATGAGTAGACTTTTAAACGTTGTCTCAAGTCTGAATGTTAATGAATCTACAGTAAACGGATGGTGGAATCATCAAAAATTCTTCCTTTGGTCCATTACCAAATCAGCGGGAGGAATGTTCGCAGACCGTAGAACGCAGCAGGATAAGTTCCCATACTGTTACGCTGTTGAGTTCTCACTGTGCTTGGCTTGATATGTTAGATAGCCTGGGCAATGATACACAAGCGACGGTAACGCTCAAACGCAATGCCCGGATGATAACCTATACAAGGGCAAATTGTGCCCCTGTCGGCTAACGTTGGGACTATTTATAACAAGCGTGTTCCCAGGGAAAAAAATCTGTCATGTAAATATTTAAATATAGGAAAAAGAAGCTTAAAAGGAAAATGTATCAACCACGTAATGTTCAGAATGAACGTTCTGTACTTGACATTTCACAAATCCCTTTGAGTTCTAAGAAACTACTCTTGAAAACTTACATGAATTAAAATTATTATACTTTTGTTTATAGGATAATTATAATCATTTTCGTTCTCAAATTAGTTTCAATTTTTTATATTTTCTCATATTAGTTTATCCCTATAATTTATGGAGTTACATTGATGTGTATTTGTATATTTGTGTTATCAACACTTATAAATAACGTATATCTAACTTCAAGTATCAAATTTAATTTATTTTTACATTTTCAGAAAATTATGAAAAAGGTACTTACAGTACTTCCTTAGTTTCTTAGTGTGTGTGTTTTTTTTTTCGATTTTTTACGATAACTGAAAGATTTCATATAATATATTTAAACGTTTTGCTTTTTCACCACAGACCATGTTTGATGTTCTACCAGAAGGAGTTCCTTGCTTAGAATAACGAGTGATGGATGACATGTTCATTAATATAGATTAATTATGTTCTATCATATCCTAACATTAGTTTATTTCCGCAGTCACGTTTATATTCGATAATTAAATATATGAGTGGAAGTAGTTACAAAAATACTTCCTATATGGGTGATCTCCACATGAGGAGATTCATGATTAAGATCTAATACGAAGCACTGGAAATAAGTTTGATAAATTGAATTTCTGAATTGTTGTAAGATAACCATAAATTAATGTCTAACTGGATAAAAAAAATACTTACCAGACGTAGTTATTGAAATATAACATAACTAGGTATTAAGGTTAAACGGAGTAAAAATGCCTAACATATGTAGTTATTGAAATGTAAAGTAACTAGGTATTAAGGTAAAATTAAGTAAAAATACCTACCAGGTGTAATTATCAAAATGTAAGATAATTAAGTAGTAATGCTAAATTAAGTAAAAAAAAATTACCAGATGTAACCATTGAAATTTAAAATAACTAGGTATTAAGGTTACACTGAGTAAAAATCTATAACAGATGTAGTTATTGAAAAGTAAGATAATTATATATTAAGGTCAACTTAAGTAAAAAATCTACTAGATGTAATTATTGAAATATTAGATAACTAGAAATTAAAAAAAAGAGTCTTTACTAGATGTGGTTACTGAATTGTTGTAATTTTTAATTTTAATATCTTTGTTCATATGTAATTATCACAAACGTTTACGGCTTACTTGACTCTCAGATAAACAAACAAAATAGTAATAATGTACTTTTAGATTCAAGACTTCACGTGCTCTTACTTGAAATAAAACGTTACAGTGAAAAACTAAATTACCTAACGTCAAATGCTGTAAGTTTTCTCTGTGACTTCAGTGGTTATTCAACACACATCTTGGCAGAGCAACTGAAGGTACTTACGTGTATTTAGTTCACCACGAATCCTCTCTGTTCATAACGAAAAAAAATATGTGTAGCTCATTACGGATTCTTTAGTCTATTATGTGAAAATCATTTGTACATAAACATATATAGAAACGAGGTGGTTTTTATAAGAGCTAACGACATATCCATGCAGTCAAAGAAAGAGAATAACAGAGAGGACACATAACAGGAAAGACAGGTACAACAATTAGATCCAAAACAATAAACAAATCCTAAAGAACAACGCGTAAAAACGTAGAAATCGGAAATATGATGAGTGGTTAAAGATAAAGGAGATGATATGTGAAGTGATGAGTTGGAAAAGAATTGGTGGCCGAATTGTATCGGTAGTAATATTACTTACAAATAAAGTTCTAAGAAAGAAATGTCAAAGAAGCTTGTAGAAATGGCAAGGGCCTTTGGAATTCTATGCGAAGGAAAGGCTGCTACAAATGTAAAGGTTTTGAAACTTTCAAGGTTAATCCTAAAATGGAAAAATAGGTAATGAAAAATATTCGAACATGGCAAAAGCATAAGTAGCACGTACGTGAGTTGAGTAAAATACGTTTGTTTAATGTCATAAACCAATTGCCTTACAGTTGATTCCTGAAACAATTTGACCAATTTAGACTATTATTTTGCCAATAATGAACAACGTGCAATACATAATGCAAAAATATTTTGTTTTATGCATAATTAAAAGACAGTAAGCTTATATAATAGTTTATATACACCCAAATTCATTAGGAACAGCTTTTCGAACAGGTACGACAAAAAGGTAAGGCAATAGGTTAAAGTAACTCAAAAAGAAGATAAATTACAGGTTTAAGGGAGACTAACAAACAGAGCAATAGTGTGAAAAACAATTAAATTGTTTAACTCCCTGAATACAATGATATCAAACAGACATACTTTTTAAAGCTTTGTACTGTTCATTTCGGTTTGTGTTTTAGTGAACGCTTCTAAAGAAGCTGTAAAGCAAAACGTTGAGTATCTAATTAAATAGAAACAACATATTGGTGTTATAAGATCGTTTATTTCTAGTATTAATATGTCTTCTATACGCCAATATGCACAACAGAAATTAAATAGACGTACTTGTCCAAGTGAATTATGTATGCTTATTGTAAATGTTTAACAAAACAATTTATTGTAAACACTTTGGATACTTAATGTACCCTCCGTTGGTAATTAAATAGTTACAGAATTTCAGCAAAAAATGTGGTTCTAACAAAAAAGTACTCAGTTTGAAATTGATAGGAAGCACATTTGATCCATGCATCGTAAGTCCGTAGGCATAAATATTGTTGGATCATGCTTAGAGAACCCTGCACAATATTTTGTTAGTAAGGTCAGGTGGATTTTGAATAAAGTAAATGATGTTACAAATATAGATTCGAGAAATAAACCGATTAATTAAAAGATTATTGTAATCGCTTTCTTAGGTTGATCACTTAGACCTGTGTCAACTGTCAAAAATACGGTTTAAAGTTAGAATAAATAAATACATGTTTTAAATTCGAAAGTTTGCAGTTCCTATTCAAATTATTCTCGGTTAACAATTTTACAAATCATTCTCAATTAACAATTTTACAAATCATTCTCAATTAACAATTTTACAAATCCTTCTCGGTTGACAATTTTACAAATCATTCTCAGTTAACAATTTTACAAATCATTCTCAGTTAACAAGTTTACAAATCATTCTCAGTTAACAATTTTACGAATCATTCTCAGTTAACAATTTTACAAATCTTTCTCAATGAACAATTTTACAAATCCTTCTCAGTTAACAATTTTACAAATCCTTCTCAGTTAACAATTTTACAAATCATTCTCAGTTAACAATTTTACAAATCCTTCTCTGTTAACAATTTTACAAATCCTTCTCTGTTAACAATTTTATAAATAATTTATTGTGAAATGTTAGTATTAAACTTAAGAATTATCTATTCACTAGTGACCCCTGGTGTGACTGATCGAAGAACAGAAAATTGTATTGAACACGGCACGTGGGCACACCCGTTTACAACAGCTTCACGTGGCGCGATGTATATCGCCACGAGCTTGCGTGATCGTTTGTTGTTTGTCACTAAACACGAGCTCATCGCATCTTGGAATGCAGGAAAGCCAAATCTTTTTCTTTTTTTATGCTATTTAACTTTGGTGGCAGAATGACCCGCTCTATGAATGTCTGACATTTGGCCCTGAGTTTAGGCCAACTGAATTACCAGGCTGTGTACTATAATCATTGTTCACGTGATAAGTAAGTCGTGCAAATAGCGCATGTATTCAACATAGTTCCAGTCTTCGTATTACAATATGGTTTGCAAAACGCACGTGCGTGATACCTCCCGTAGTCTAATTCCTGCTGTTACTTGAATCTGCACCAATAATCTTCCAAATGAAAACGTTCCTGTTATAAATTGAATATAAAATTTAACTTTCTATCAATTGTAAAAATTGGTGATACACACACACTATCTGATATCATTCTACAGAATAGAAAATAACAAAACTTTACGGTGAGTCACGAATCTCACGAGCCACAGGAGACTCGTGGAGCAGATATGCAGTTTAAGTTAGATAAGCAATATAAAAGAAAATATATGTATTTGATTATTCACAAAATGCCTTTACACCACGTTTGATATGCAAGTACAGAATGTCAGTTTAAAGTGATTTGCTATTGTTTTATTATTTTTCCTGTAACTTAACTATAATGTACATTGTAGGTTTACACATGAGTGAGAAATAGCGATTTCCGTGAGCTAAAACACAGTAATAATGAGCGGTAAGTTGCCGAAATTAGTTTTTCGCGTTGAAATAATTTGCACTCCATACACATTTATTTAATTATGTTTTGAAAATGTAACCTTGTCTGTCTTCCACCCAGGGGCTACACAGTGTATACAATTTCAACTTCTGATAAGTAAAAGTAGTTTAAAAAGGTGAGTAGTCAAATAAATCTATTATTTGATGTCGGATTTTGTGATAAATAATTCACAAATAAGGTCAATATTTCCAAATGTCGTGCTCTTATAATAGTCCAACAAGGATATTATTTTTTTACATTTGTCTTGTTCTTTAAATGAAGGTTGATAAGCTAAGTATACAATATTTCAAGTCATAGAGAAATAACAGTCCAGTATATATTATATTTTCCCGAAAACAGATACGAGGTTGACCACAACACTATGCGGTAATATGTACTGAGAAACATTTACACTTAGTAACACTATCTTGTAACTGATTATTCCAGCGACTTGTGACTGACTCTCTCTCTCGTCATTTCTAATAAGCTAAAACAAACTAATGACTAATATTTATTGTTTCACTCGATTCTTCCACAGAAAAGTCAAACCAGTCAAATTTAAAAAAAAAAATTTTACTTGTGAAAGGCTGTTGTGATGTTTACCCTT